GCTGCTAGAACCTGGAGAACCGCCCCCTGCTGCTGCATCACTAGTTACCAGGTAGAAGAGACTGACTGAGTCTGACTAGAAGCTGCTGCTAGAACCTGGAGAACCGCCCCCTGCTGCTGCTGCATCACTAGTTACCAGGTAGAAGAGACTGACTGAGTCTGACTAGAAGCTGCTGCTAGAACCTGGAGAACCGCCCCCTGCTGCTGCATCACTAGTTACCAGGTAGAAGAGACTGACTGAGTCTGACTAGAAGCTGCTGCTAGAACCTGGAGAACCGCCCCCTGCTGCTGCTGCATCACTAGTTACCAGGTAGAAGAGACTGACTGAGTCTGACTAGAAGCTGCTGTTAGAACCTGGAGAACCGCCCCCTGCTGCTGCATCACTAGTTACCAGGTAGAAGAGACTGACTGAGTCTGACTAGAAGCTGCTGCTAGAACCTGGAGAACCGCCCCCTGCTGCTGCATCACTAGTTACCAGGTAGAAGAGACTGACTGAGTCTGACTAGAAGCTGCTGCTAGACGGACTATTTCTAGCCGGAACCTTTCAGCCTCACACACTAGCTCTGGTTCCTTCCCCACCAGCGAGGCGACATTCCACGTCCTTAGAGCCAGCTTATGCAGCCGAGGATTGGACCGCCAGGGTCCCCTCCCTCGGCCGCCACCCAACACACACTGCATCCGACCCCTATGGCCCCTCTCACGGGTGGTGGGCCCATGTAAGGGGGGACCCATGTTTCCTCTTCAGGCTGAGCCCAGCCGGGCCCCATGGGTAAAAGCCCTGCCACCAGGCGTTCGTGCCCCCCCTCCAGGCCTGGCTCCAGAGTGGGGGCCCCGGTGACCCGCGTCCGGGCGAGGGAACGCCGAGTCCAAAGGTTGTAGTCATCATAAGGGTCTTTGGGCTGCGCTTTGTCTGGTTCCTCACCTAGCGTGACACAAGCGTGTCAGATAATGGATAATAGAAGTTCCTCCATACTGAATGAACAAAACCAGTAAATGGACCCAACCTGGTTCTGATCTCCATCTGGGTTCAGCCTGATGGGGCCGTCCTCAGATTATCTGCTCTTTCTGACTGATCCTGATTAGAGATGTCCCGATCCAGGTTTTTGTACTTCCGATCCGATACCGATACTGGCCGATACCAGCCTATCCCAGCATGTATTTAAGTTTAAGTTAAAGTATTTAGCCTTAGTTGTAAGACTCATGTTGAAAAGGGTTTTAGTACTCTTGATAACATCTAGCCAGCTGAATTAGGTGAGATTGAATAAAACACAATGATTGGTAACAACAAACTTACCTGTTTATTAAGAGATAAACACAAACTGGACAAAATTTTGAATAGCAATCTGAAATTGCACAGTGAACAGTAAAACCGTAAACAGTTAAATGTGCAAGTATTACTGTAAGTTTTAATAGAAATGCAAAACAGACAAGAGTGAAAAATAATAACTTAGAATCAGGACTCTACTCTTGAAAAAAGACACTGCTTAAAAAAAAATCAGTGCAAATAATAGTGAACTATTACACAAAAAGGCCTTATACTCCCCAATCTCCTCCACACCTAGTCTCCATCTACACATCATGCAGGATAAAATAATCCCTCACGGCTGACATTTTCCCCGCTATCTTCCAATTCACCTGTTTTAATGGTTAGGCCGGGAGACAGACCCAAAAAGACCTGTGGGTCTGTTGAAGGTGTTCTGGAAAATGCGGACCGGATTCGGGGAACACTGGCGCAAAATAGTGGAATGGATTGTTTCAATCGGCGAAACTGGAAAATACGGACCGGATTTTTTTTTTAAAACTGGATCGGCAGTCTGGATCGGCTTTTTTACATGCTTTGCCGATACGCATTTTTTTGCCAATATCGGCGTCCGATCCGATACGTGGATCGGATCGGGACAAGCCTAATCCTGATCCAGACTGGAACCAGATTATAAAGATTAATGGAGAAGATCTGATCTGATCCACCTGGATGAAGAACAACTGCTAGTAGATAGAAATAACCAGAAAATAAATGTTCAATATATTAAATTAATTTTTAATAATTTATATAATTATATAATTTAATAGAATCAATCATCTTCAGATCTAATAGTTCTACTTCTACCTTTAACCTGATCATTTCCTGATCTCCAGCTTCCGTCCAGGTTCAGCTGCTGTCTGCCTGGATACCAATGACGTCACAGCCTCTGATTGGCTGCTGCCTGCTTCTGCTTCCAGCAGCAGCTGAACTTTCCTCTCAGTTGATCTCAGAGTTTAACAGAGAGAGGATGATGATGATGATGAAGCTGCTCCTCTTCCTCTGCTCCGTCCTCTGGGTCTCTGCTGATGGTGAGTTCTACTGGTTCTGGTTCTGGTTCAGTGTGACCCAGTGGACCTCAGTGGTTCTTCTCTCTTCCAGTTCTCCATGAGGACCTTAATATCGTTGGATGTTCAGACTCTGATGGAGAGTACATGTACGCTCTGGATGGAGAAGAGATGTGGGTCGCTGACTTTAAGAAGGGAGAAGGAGAAGAACCTCAGCCTCCTTTCATTGATCATATCAGCTACCCAGGAGGTTATGAATCAGCTGTGGCTAATCAACAGATCTGCAGAGAGAACCTGAAAGTCTGTCGTTCGGGTATGAAGGACCTTCCAGTGGAAAACGGTAAAGATCAATAATTATTAAATCTCATCTCATTGAATCTCTGAACAGATGATCGATCTTTAGGTAACTATAAATGATTTATCATCAGTTTAATTAAATCAATCCACTCTATGAGAAAATATAAATTTCTCTAAACAGCTGAAATATGAGAAAAAATAAGAAGTGATGATAATCTTTAGATGTGAGTTGATATTAAATTATTTATCTGTAAACTGTTTATTGTTTAAAACTGAGATTAAAGAAAGTTTAAAAATATTAATGTTGAATAAAACTAATATTTTCTGTTTTTGATACTAATGATAGTATATGAATATTTTATATTTTATCAACATAAACTCAGAGTCAGACCAGAGTTTAGATCCTATTAACTTTAGATTTTAATAATTTATATCATTTATTCAGCGATTAATCAATGTCAAACAATTACAACATCAACCTGATCCATCAACCAATCAGAGCTCTGCTCCCTGCTGCTCTCTGATTGGCTGCTGAACTCCTCCATTACTGGCCCAGAACAGCAGAACTTGGATCAGGTTCATCCAGACATTGGACCTTCTGAACAGACCTGGTCTCAGATCTCAGTCCAGACTGCAGAACCTGCAGAACCTTAGATAGAAACCTGGAACAGAACCTTCAGCTTGGTTCTGGATCCAAGACCAGACAGAGGAACCAGAACCTGGAACCATCAGCTGCCTCTGACCCAAAGATGGAGCAGACAATGGTCTCTGGTTGGAGGAGGTCAGAGGTCAACTGCAGACCTCTGAGGGTTCTTCAGTGTGCAGGAACTGAGCTGGAACCTTTTGGACCAGTAGAGGTGGGAGGGGACATTAAGCGATATAGTTGATGGTTCTGATCCTCTTCATCCGGTGCCGTGAACATCTGATCCATCTGGTCCTTCATCAGGTTCTGTTCTGGTAGATGAATCTCCTCAGCTGGTCTGAGATCAGTTCTGTTTCTCTCCTCAGATGGTCCATCTGCTCCAATGGTCTACCCCAGAAATGATTTGGAGCTGGGAGAGAAGAACATCCTGATCTGTCATGTCTCTGGTTTCTATCCTGCTCCTGTCAACGTCTCCTGGACCAAGAACGGCCAGAAGGTGACTGATGGAACCAGCATCAACGTTCCCTATCCCAGTAAGGACAGCACCTTCACCCAGATCTCCAGACTGGACTTCATCCCTCAGCTGGGAGACGTCTACAGCTGCTCAGTGGAGCATCCTGCCCTGCAGAAACCAGTCACTACGATGTGGGGTGAGGAACCTTCATCCATTACCAGACATGGAGGTGATGGACGTCCACCTCCAGATGTTCATGTCTCTGTCTCTGTCTCCAGATGTGGACGTCCACAGTCCTCAGCCCAGTGTGGGACCTGCTGTGTTCTGTGGAGTGGGTCTGACCATCGGACTCATCGGCGTCGCCGTGGGAACCTTCTTCCTGATCAAAGGGAACGAGTGCAGCTGATTGGCTGCAGCTGATTGGCTGCAGATGATTGGCTGCAGATGATTGGCTGCAGATGATTGGTTGAAGCTGATTGGCTGCAGCTGATTGGTTGAAGCTGATTGGCTGCAGCTGATTGGTTGAAGCTGATTGGCTGCAGCTGATTGGTTGAAGCTGATTGGCTGCAGCTGATTGGCTGCAGCTGATTGGATGCAGCTGATTGGTTGATGGTTTAATGGAGAATATTTCTGTTTTTTTCTGTCTGATTAAATCAGTTTTTCTTTTCTTGACCTCAGATGTAAATTCAATTTATTCTTCATTATTTTTTCTGCATAAAGTACAACATTTAGATTATTTCCTGATGTTTTTATCTGCTCTGCAGTGAACATCTGAACAGCCTGTTCTGCAGGTTTGAGCCAATAAAGGATTATTAAAGTTCATTATCTGACTTTATTATGACCTGGGTCTGGTTCTACAACACTGGAATATGGAGGCAGAACCTTTAGTTTCTCGTTGTCGGGTCAGAACCATCCTATCTGTTCTCAAAATGTTTTATGCAGCATCTTGTATTTACTACACATTTTATTATAGTTTTATTATAATCATATTAAAATTCTGTCAAGGTTTTATTTATTTCTAGTTTTTCAGCACTGAATGCAAACAGAACCAGAACCTCTGACACATTTTAAATTTAGTTAAAATCTCTTAACTTTCAACCAATAATGTTAAAGTGAAATAACTGAAATTTCTGTTTAAATGTTAGGAGAGTAAATGTTAACATAGATAATCTGTTTTGATTTATGTTGAACAAATATCAGATAGAAAATGATTTTCAGTCTAATGATCCAATCTTCCTGTAATGTCAGAACAAAACCTAATTAGATTAATAAACATCACAGCTCAGTTGATCACCAACATCCAGATCCAGCAGTAAAACATTACATGATCAGATGATGGATCTCCAGGTGTTTCTGGTCATTATCAGCATCTAAGCCACCAAAACCTTCCTCACAATAAATGAATTCTTTATTTACTTTATTTTTATTTATTCACATCACATCATCTCAGGTCACTTTACAGAAACATTTCAAACTGATCATCCAGTCAGATTTATTCAGACTGGATGATCAGTTGTTTTTTTCAAAGGAAAACCAGCTGATTGCATCGACTGATTGACTCTTCAGCAATCCCTCACACTAAGCATGCTTGTAGCGACAGTGGAGAGGAAAACCTGAGCCACTCTAACTAGAAGCTTTATCAAAAAGGAAAGTTTTAAGCCTAGCCTTAAAAGTAGACAGGGTGTCTGCCTCACGGACTAAAACTGGTAGTTGGTTCCACAGGAGAGGAGCCTGAGAACTAAAAGATCTGCCTCCCATTCTACTTTTAGAAATTCTAGGAACCACTAGTAAACCTGCAGATTGAGAGCGAAGTGCTCTGTTAGGAACATAAGGAACAATCAGATCTCTGATATCAGATGGAGCTTGGCCATTTAAGGCTTTATATGTGAGGAGGAGGATTTTAAATTCTATTCTCGATTTAACAGGAAGCCAATGAAGAGAAGCCAGGATAGGAGAGATATGATCTCTCTTTTTCATTTTCATCAGAACTCTGGCTGCAGCATTTTGGATCAGCTGAAGGCTTTTAACTACAGTTTGTGGACTTCCTGATAGTAAAGAATTACAATAGTCCAGCCTTGAAGTAACAAATGCATGGACTAGTTTCTCAGCATCACCCCTGGACAGGAGATTGCTCATTTCTGCAATATTCCTCAGATGAAAGAAGGAAATTCTAGAAACCTCTTTGATCTGGGATTTAAATGACAGGTCCTGATCAAAAATAACACCAAGATTTTTTACTTTATTATCTGAAATCAGTTTAATCCCATCCAAATGAAGTGACTGACTAATCAGCTTCTTTTTCAGAGACTCTGGTCCAAAGAAATTGACAAGTGCTCAGTAGAAAAGTGCAGCAGAAGGTGCTATGTCAACTCATTTATCAGGGTTTTATAATATTTTCCAGGAAGACCATCCACCCCTGGAGGTTTGTTACTGTTAAGTCTAAAATGTTATCCTTGATTTCTTCTTCTGTAATTGGACATGTCATTGTATCTGCCTCCTCTACTGTGAACCCGGCTAGATTAATTGAATTAAGGATTCAGTTATTTCTTTTATATGAGGCTGCTCCTTGGCTGTATACAGTTTTTGTTAATAAGAAGCAAATGCCTCAGAGATATATTTTGGTTGGGTTAACATCTGGTTACTATTTGGGCAATTTATTTTATGTACTACTGTTAGATTGAGTCTTACACAGCTGGAAGGCCAATAAGCAGCTAGCTCTGCTGCCAAATTCATAGTACTTTCTGTTAATAAATCGCAGCGATCCTGCTTAGGAGGTCAATAGATCATCCAATTGTTGTCTCCTTTCTTTTAATAATAACAGAACTTGGTATGTTTTGATCTTGATACTGTGTCTATAGCTTCTTAACTTCCCTCTCTAATTCAACCTGCTGAGCTAGTCTTTGTGTTTTTAGTCTGGATAAAAAAACCTATTATGTTGCCCCTCATCTCCACCTAGGCTGCCTCTAATAGAGTAGAAAGGGAGTCGGTGTCATTATCATTAGATTTCAAATAATCTGTTATGCTTTCATGGATTTGTTGTAGAATTGCTTCATCGTTTAATAATAATATAAATTGAGTCTCCAGTATTTAAACTGTTTGCTCGGTCCTATCTGTATCTTTACCATTACAGGAGCATGGTCTGAAATACACTGCTCAAAAAAATTAAAGGAACACTTTTAAAACAAATCAGATCTCAACGGGGGAAAAAATCCTGCTGTTTCTTTATCCTGATATGGACTGGGTGATGCGTTAGGAACAAAGGATGCCACATCATTTGATGGAAATGAAAATGATCAACCTACAGAGGGCTAAATTCAAAGACACCACAAAGATTACAGTGAAAAATCAATCAATGGTATCAATTCCTTCATCCTCCAGGAACTGCCTGCAGACTCTCGCCCCACATGAGGTCGGGCATTGTCGTGCACCAGGAGGAACCCAGGACCCACTGCACCAGCATAGGGTCTGACAATGGGTGCAAGGATTTCATCCCGATCCCTAATGGCAGTCAGGGTGGTGTTGTCTAGCCTGTATAGGTCTATGCGTCCCTCCATGGATATGCCTCCCCAGACCATCACTGACCCCCCACCAAACATGCTGACCGATGTTACAGGCAGCAGAACGTTCTCCACGGCTTCTCCAGACCCTTTCACGTCTGTCACATGTGCTCAGGGTGAACCTGCTCTCATCTGTGAAAAGCACAGGGCGCCAGTGGCCCACTTGCCAATTCCGGTGTTCTGTGTCAAATGCCAATGGAGCTCCACGGTGCCGGGCAGTGAGCACAGGGCCCACTAGAGGACGTGGGGCCCTCAGGCTATCCTCGTGGAGTCTGTTTCTGATTGTTTGGTCAGAGACATTCACACCAGGGGCCTGCTGGAGGTCATTCTGTAGGGCTCTGGCAGTGCTCCTCCTGCTCCTCCTTGAACAAAGGAGCAGATAGCGGTCCTGCTGATGGGTTGTAGACCTTCTACGGCCCTGTTCAGCTCTCCTGGAGGAACTGCCTGTCTCCTGGAATCTCCTCCATGCTCAGATTGTGCTGGGAGACACAGCAAACCTTCTGGCAATGGCACGTATTGATGCGCCATCCTGGAGGAGGTGGACTGCCTGTGCAACCTCTGTAGGGTCCAGGTAGCGCCTCATGCTAACAGTAGTGACAGTGACCCTAGCCAAATGCTAAACTGGTGAAAAAGAGTCAGAAAAGATGAGGAGGGGATAAAATGTCAGTGGCCTCCACCTGTAAAACCATTCCTGTTCTGATGGTCGTCTCGTTGTTGCTCCTCTAGTTCACCTGTTGTTCATTTCATTAACACCAAAGCAGCTGAAACTGATTAACACCCCCCCTGCTACTGACCTGACCAGATCAATATCCCACAAGTTTAATTAACTTCATGCTATACTCTGATTACAAAGTGTTCCTTTAATTTTTTCAAGTAGTGTAGTTATTGGTTCTATGTTACATTCCCTAGTTCCGTACACATCTGTTCCTGATATCAAAAACATGTCCAGTCTAGAGTGGATGCCATCATCATTGCACAAAGATGTATTGATTTCTTGGATAAAGGACCTACACTCTGCCTCAAAACGCAGCTGAAATCTCCACCTATTAAAATAATTCCCTCTGCTTTGTCTGCTAATAATGACGCTATCATCTGAAAGAAATTTGGACAGACCTTGTTTGGGGCATATAGATTAGCCGGTGTAATTTTAGAGCCCCCAGTAGTACCCATTACTATCACATATCTACCCTCTTTATCCTCAATTGTTTTTTCATCACTAAAATAAACAGACTTATTTAGCAAGATTGAAACTCCTCTTTTCCTCCTGTATTTGAAGGAGGAGCTATACATCTGATCCACCCATTCTCTATTCAATTTTTAGGGGTTCTTTTTCTGTTAGATGAATCTCTTGTAACACTGCTATAGAGCAGTGCATTTGTTTAAGTTGGTTCAATATTTTTTCTTTTATTTGGAGTATTTATACCTGTTACATTATAGCTGATATGCTTTAAACTATTCAGGGATTAGTGATTTTTACTATATTCTTTCAGTATTTCACAGAAATACCTTAAATCAGGAAAAATAAGGAAATTGTGCATATTAAAAGTTATCGATGTTCAAACTCAAGGCAACTTAGAATAGGTTGCATTAAAGAAGCAAAATATAGTGAACTTCCAAATACCCAACTGGGTTTCTCTGTGACATTATGTTCAACTACTTCAAGCGGAACATGAACCAATCCCTTGTGGAACCTGGGCTGAGGAGGGTGACTGCTCCTCTGTGGGGAACACTGGCTGATGAGGCGGTTGTTGCTGCTCGGTATGGCAGTAAAACTGGCAGTTTACAGAATTCTGCCCATTGTAGGAGGGGACGGATTATCCATCCATCCATCCATCCATCCCTCTGTCCGTCCATATTTTGCTGGATGGAATTGAAGCTGTATCCATAACAGGGATGCATGTATTGCTGTCGGAATCTGTA